TTAGTCATCATAGAAAACTAATTCAGCCTTCCATCGGCATGGCTGATGCTAACCTCCAGGGGTTCAACTGATTGTGACTTTTTTGGTTTCAGGGTTTCCACTGACATGACATAAAATGATTATACTGAATTCTTTGTTAAGTCTGCTAGTAAGAATATTGTTTCACTGAGTCGTTCTACGTTTATAAATTTGCCATTTTAAGTGCATTGAATATCGCATCTATATCTGGTCTGATGCCCTTGCTATACATGAAAAGTCAAGATTAATTACAGATGAAGCTAAGTGATATAATTTAATGTTATCAAATGAACGTCAATGAATGTTGTTTTTTGAAATTTTTCTTGACAAGATCGTAAGAAGGGTATGTAATATAATCCGTCCTAACCTGGCATCTCGGCTTCAGTCGATTTCTCACCGCCGTGATATGGCCTCCAGCTGTCTTTTCTACAGATATTTTCATGGTAATTGTTCTGAGTTCTCTTCCTTGGTGTCTCGAGTTCATGAATTTAAACGTAATACTTGATTGGCAATTAGGTCTCATCGTTCTACTGCAGGATGAGCTAGATATAACTGTATTCAAATAGTTTCTTTTCCCTCGCTTCTCGTTAATGAAACACACTTCCGGCTATTTGTTTTCCTGCCATCAATGATCTTCAAATACGTAAATGCAACGTCAATCACTATCTTCTGTTTTCTTGAAGTAAGTTCTTTTATTGTCTTTTCTCATCATTAACGTCTTCTCATTTTCTTTTACAGTCAATAATACCTTGTGTCTTAGCGGCATTCTCGCCTTGCTTGAGGTGAAAGGATAAAAACACGCTTTTCTAAGAGTGTCAAGTTTCATTGGGTTTTTTTCTTTTTATGTGCCGTGTCCCTTCAAGACGTAGGCGATCATGGCTCTCCACTTCCCTCTTATCCCTTGTAGCTCTCAATAAGTTTCGTCCTCTTGCCAAACTCCCCCAGACAAGGTTCTGTCACCCACTTGGTTAAGCCCACTAGGTATATCATGCGTTGCTTTTCTTTGTCTCTCTTTCCCTCTATTTGCCCTGTGAGTATCAGATTATCCAGGCCCCCTTTCTCATTACGTGTCCCAGAAATTTCTTCTATCTCCCCCTGATGTTAAGTATGTTTCCTCCTTGTTTGCATCCTCTCCAAAACCTCATCGTTGCTCACACACTCGTCCATGGTATCCTTAGCACTGTAGAACCATGCTTCCGTTGTCTTGGGTCTCTTCTTCATCTTTGAGGAGACCGTCCAATATTCACTGCGTAAAGAAGACAGATGTCACGTAACAGCTCAGTATTTCTTTTCTTCGTTACCAAAGTGTTATGGTCCAGGTTAGGACCAAGAAAGAAAGAACAACACGAACACAAGAGTAGAAATAACGAAGGTATATTACACGAAATAATAATACAAGATGTGGAAGGTGTTAGTATGACTGTCAGTCTGGTTTGGAGTGAACTACTATCGGCTCGACTCGATTCACGAGGGTTGCATGTGGCACAAGTTCGAGTTTAACGTGGGTTTCCCGAGCCCGTAGAACCCGTATAAACGGGATCGGGTTGGTCAACCTCCCCGAACGAGACTCTGCCCTTCGGCGTAGCCTCGCCCAGGTTCCTCCCTGCTCAGAGGCAGAGAGTTCGACCGTCAAGCCGAGAAGCTCGGCTCGACTCGATTCGTCCCTCTCTCTTAAGAGGCGTAGTATACATAGTGTTAGGAAGATTTCATTCTGTAGTTATAGATAAGGACCCATGACACAAAGAAATCTTAGCTCAGGTTTTGGAATGTATCTTTAGCCATCCCAATATTGTATTCATTTCTATGCTTGGTCGGCTCAGGAGATTTTGGAATGCGTCCTAGGTACCGTTTAAATATTAACTTTACATACAGAAGTTTTTTTATTGCTTCCCAGAATCTGTTTTTGCTTGAAGATTCTCAATTTTCGTATAAGACGACCCAATGTTTTCTACTGTCTGAATATGGAGAGTTATTTACATGATTCGGACTATTGTCCTCATCTTTGTCACCATATTTATTACAATGTTTCGGCCGCTGTACGCTTCGGCTTTCTTCAGGTGGTTGGAATGTCGAACTTTACCCTTTATTTCGCTCCCTGGGGCAGACTGTTCTAGTTCCACGTGCCATGTTTAATAAATGTCAGTTATCAGTTATCTCCTGTTAATTTCCCTCTGAAAGTTCTCCACTGCCTTAACTGGGTATTGAACTCACACTTTTTGGGTCCTCAATAATCTCCTGAGCCAACCAAGCATAGAAATGAATACAATATGGGAACCAGTAATAAGGAGTGCCATAGAAAAAATCGATAATAACTGGATCTAACCAAAGCATTTATCCACTGTGCTATGTGGATAAGGACATCTGTGTATGAATTTCTGGGTATTATAAACCTAATGTCTTCAGCAACCATTTTAAGCACATATGCTAGGCCACAATAATCTCCTGAGCCAACCAAGCATAGAAATGAATACAATATGGGAACCAGTAATAAGGAGTGCCATAGAAAAAATCGATAATAACAATAAAAGTTGCAATATGAGCTCCGGTTTAAACATGGAATGTTAACAGCAAAAAATTGCGATATGAGCACTGGTAAAATGGTTGCTGAAGGTTTATAATACCCAAAAATTCAAGGACATATATATATATATATATATATATATATATATATATATATATATATATATATATACAGTGCTGTTCGATAAAAAAGTGACTCACCTGATTTTTTTACTAAAAATATTGTCTATTGTTTTTGGAGTCAAACTAATTTGTAATCTTACTAATATAAAGACCCCTTCCCGACCACCAAGGAAAAAAGTTTATTCCCCCTAAGGTATTCTATTGATAATTATAAATTTGGATATAAATGAGATCCAGGAAAAATCTCAGATATCGCATTCTAATGATTAAACTGGTAAATTTAAAAAACATTTGACAAAATATTGAAAACTATTTTACAATACACTCAGAACAATATTCTAGAGAATTCTAGAACAGCTTAAATTAAATCTAGAGTGTTCCAAAATATTCCAGAAAGCCTCATAGAGTAACAAAACAGGTTCAAATAGCCATTCAGAACCACTTAAGGCATCTATTATTGCCTTCTCAAAAGCAGGCAAGTCTACGAGAGAAATTGCAGAAATTGCTATAACCTCGCAATCAACTGTCTCTCGAGTGCTTAGGGAACATAATGATGTCACTCCTGCTCCATGGTAGGAAACAAGGGGACGAAAGAAAAAGATTGATGATAGAACTGGCAGGGTAATCAAGGGAGAACTTGCGAAGAATAGGACTATAACTAGCCAAGAAATTGAAGAGCAAGGTGTTAGTCTTGCCTCCTCAACAGTCCGTCAATGGCTGTTAGAACAAGGCTACAAATATTGTACACGATGGTTTAAGCCACTAATAAGCAAAGCCAACAAAGCCAAGAGACTTAAATGGGCTCCTATTATTAAAAAAATTTCACCGTAGAAGACTGGCAGAATGTTCTCTTCTCCGATGAAACGAAAGTTGAGCTAAATTCAAAAGGATAAGCGATCTAAATCCGAAGAAGAAGCTTTGAAAGCTCTTTGAATTTAGCAGTAGTACTGTCAAAGAATCCGTTGAGTATAATGTTTTGGGGATGCTTTTCTTTTCATGGAACTGGTTTCTTAAAACCTTTTGAAAAGACCCCCAGAAGCGAGCAGTACAAGAGAATTTTAGAGTCTTGTCTGATCCCTTTTGCTGAAAGGGGGCAAATCGACCCCACCAAGCTCATTTTTATGCAGGATAATGCTCCCTGTCACAAATCAAAATTGATGAAGGAATACTTTGATGAGAAGCAGGTGAGTGTTATGACATGGCCGCCCCAATCTCCTGACCACAACCACATAGAAAACTTATGGAGCATTATAAAGTACAGGCTCTCGAGAAAGCAGTTGAGCAAGAAAGAGGATTTGATTGTGAACTTTATATCCGAATGGAATTCAATGCGAGATGAGATTTGCCAGAACCTAATCAAGTCAAAAAGGGTTGAAAAGGTTATTCAAAATAGGGGAGGACCCATAGATTATTAAATATTTCGAAATATATTACCTATTATAAATAAATTATACCTCCTATTCTTTATTTAAAGTTGTTCGGTTATGTTTCTATTGATTACTAGTTGCAGGAAATAAGTGAGTCACTTTTTTGCACAGATTTTTTCTCTACATCTCATTTATATCCAAAACTTATAATTATCAATAAAATACCTTAGGGCGAGTAAACTTTTTTTACTAGGTGGTTGAGAAGGTGACTTTATATTAGTAAGATTAAAATTAGTTTTGACTCTCAAAACAATAGGCGAAAAAGTTTTTAAGTAAAAAAAATCAGGTGTCTCCGTGTGTATATACATATGTATATACACTTAGTTTGAAGATCAAAATAATCAGTGTTAATTCCTTCATCAGCACTTGTTTAATAACTATAAATAGTCTATCATCTATACTGAACAGGTTTTCAGTATAAATATACAAAATGTTTGGTAATACATACATATATATACATATAGATAGATAGATAGATAGATAGATAGATACATAGATAAATAGATAGATAGATAGATAGATAGATAGATAGATAGATACACGCACACACACACAAGCACGCACATATATATATGTTTATATGTGTGTGGACATATATGTATATATATTTGTGTGCGTGCATATAAATATATGTTTGTGTACATATATATATATATATACATATATATATATATATATATATATATATATATATATATATATATATATATATATATGTATATATGTGTGTGTGCGTGTACATACATATATATGTGTATTTTACATATGTTTGTGGGTATATATATATATATATATATGTGTGTGTGTGTGTGTGTGTGTATATATATATATGTGTGCATGTGTACATATATACGTGTGTATATATATATAAAAATGTAAATATGAGTGTATATATATATATACACACACTCTCTATAAATATACACACAGACACACAGATAGATAGATAGATAGATAGATAGATAGATAGATAGATAGATAGATAGTAATCTGTTGGTAAAATACAGGTGAGTCTACATAGAATTTGGAATGTTAAAAATGACTCACAATTTCTTTCTCCAAATAAACAGTATCTCACTACAAACGGATATCATAAACAGTTTGACAAATAATTCACTAAAGGTATCTTAATTTCAATTGTAAAGTATATATATATATATATATATATATATATGTGTGTGTGTGTGTGTGTGTGTGTGTGTGTGTGTGTGTGTGTGTGTGTGTGTGTGTGTGTGTGTGTGTGTGCGCGTGTGTGTGTGTTCGGTGAATATTAAATTGAGTCGTTAAAATGACGTCGCCATGCTGTCTTGATTCCCATGACAAAAGATTTTCACAAACAAATATTACTAACAAAACATATCCCCACATCGTCATACGCACACACATATTTTTATATATATTTGTGTGTTTACATATATATATATGTGTGTCTGTGTATGCATACGTGCGTGTGTGTGTATATATATATATATATATATATAAAATGAATTAATATAAAATATTTCGCCGAGAAAAAAACAACACATGTGGCCTGACTTTTGCGTCTAGCATGAAACAGTCTGTCACCTCTGAGAGTTGACTTTAATGTTCTCTTTTTATATTTGCCTACGCTCTATTGAGCACTTTATCCCATAAATATAGCACACCTTAAAAAACTATATTTCTTCACGCACACACACACACACACACACCTATCTATCTACATCTATCTATCTATCTATCTATCTATATATATATATATGTGTGTGTGTGTGTGTGTGTGTGTTTATATCTCTGTTGGTTTCTTTGATATTGAAATGTTAAAATAAATTTTTAAATATTAAAATAGTCAGTATGATTTTGAGTTTAATCCTGTTAAATAATGCCTCAAAATCACTAGGCATATTAAATATTTTGATACTTCACCAATCCTTCTTTATTTGATTTCCCAATTCCGTTTTTAAAATTGCTTAAAGAAAATTTAAATCAATTTTTAATTTTCAACTTGAATATCATTATTCCATTTAACCCCCTCCACATAAATCAGAAAATGCTTCTTAGCCCCCGCCCCGCTGCACCTTTAAACAGTTCTGTTTTCTTTTTATGCAACAATATTCCGAAATTATTCATTCTTTCCATAATTATTACCTGCCGTATTTTTCAAAATATAAGATGGAACGGTGTATAAGACGCACACTTAGTTTAAAGGTAATGTTTTGGCGAGAAACGATCAGCAGTTATATTTTGAAATTCTGTTATTCAATTTAAAAATGAGTATATATTGTTCTAAGCACAGATCTACTGAAAATAACAAAATACTGAGCAACCTCGGTTTTCGAACGTCTCTTCATGTCAAACAAATCGATTTTTCGAACAGAAAATTCAAGATGAAAATACCTCGGTTATCGAACATAATTTCGGTTCACGAACAACATTGCCGAACCGAGCCGAACCGAGCCGAACCAAGCCGAATCGAGTGGCTTAACTCGGTTCGGCTCGATTCGGCAATGTTGTTCGTGAACGGAATCATTTCTGAGTCGACCGCCGTGTTATATACATTTGTATGTTGTACTGTGAATTTCTTTTCCAATTTTATTTTACCGTCCTTTTTTTTTTCTCTCTCTCTACATTGATTCCTACTGAACAAATGCTTTCGGTTTACGAACATTTCGGTTTACGAACATTTCGGGTTACGAACGGCTTTGACAAACGAATAAAATTCGTGAAGCGCAGTTCCACTGTATTAATATCGACAAAATTTTATGCTCATTTTTTTTGGTTCAAAACTTACAAAATATTCATCTCTTACCTTATCGCGTCCATCAGACACTTCATCGTTATTGTGATAAAAGAGAATTTCATTCTAACTTCTGTCTATTATATATTAATTACTCCTGAAATGACTTAATTACTATATCACTTCTTAATCTTTCCACAAGCTCTTCACCCACAGCCACACCTGAACAAGTGTCGGTCTTTTCATTCACCCAGAAGAGATCATAGCAAAATATTCCTGATTCATCAGGTTGTCCCATTCGTCCCTCAATAAAAGTTTTAAATGATTTCTGAAATATCAAGATTTTTTTTGTTGGTTTGTTAAAAATCTGGGTAAAGCAACAAGTTTTGTTTTAGATTAGATTTTTTTACTTCGTTCTTTTTTCCGTTTTGTGTGTTATTCATACCTTCGGTGTATAAGACGCAGGTAGGTTCTGACAGAAAATTTTGAAGTTAATTAAAGACAGCGCGTCTTATACAGCGAAAAACAATGTAAAACAAAATTCAAATCTAGAAAGTACCAAAATAGAACAGATAAAGTAACATAAATAATGTTAGGAAGATCTACATCGATAATATTCCCATCTAAGGTCGAAATTCTTTATTTGATGTATGTACTCAATTGATGACTACCGTGTCCTATCTCTCTCTCTCTCTCTCTCTCTATATATATATATATATATATATATATATATATATATAGTCTGTTTCATGCTGAAATGCAATCTTCAGGCCAAGCATGCGTTTAAGCATGACACAGACTGTCGCCTCTGGGTGTTGACTTCAATAGCCACTTTCATATTTACATACGCTCACTCCCTGATATTGAGCACTTTAAGCCATAACTATAGCATAGCATAAAACTATATTTTTATCATATATATATATATATGTGTGTGTGTGTGTGTGTGTGTGTGTGTGTGTGAATTTGGGCAGCAAACTTTCTTTCAAATATCTTTCATTAAATAAAACAAAGAACACTGAATTATTTTTTATGAAGTATTTCCAGCATCCTTATTTTTTACGTATATACATATATATGTGTGGGGAGGTTTGAAAGAAAGAAAGAATGAGACTGAAATATATATAAGGAGAAAGAGAGTGATATATATATATATATATATATATATATATATATATAGGAGAGAGAGAGAGAGGGGGATAGAGACAGTGACAGAAAGACAGAGAGAGACAGACAGACAGACAGACAATCAGACAGACAGACAGGGAACCAAACAGATAGATACATTTTAACAAGCTCAGGTAGAGAAAAAGAGGTAGATATAGAGAGATAGAAAATGAAATCAGATAGATATGAATACGATGAGAAAGAAAGAAAGAAATAAAGAAAGAAAGAAAGAAAGAAATAAAGAGACTGAAATATATATATAGAAACAGACTGATGTATATCGAGTGACAGACAGACAAAGACAGAGTGAGGTACAAACTGAGATAGATGCAGATTAACAGACTAAGATAGATAGATAGGGCCTAGATAGATATAGATAGATAGATAGATAGATAGATATAGAAGATAGAACAGAGAGATAGATACATAGATATCTGAGATAAATAGATAGACAAACTGAGATAGATAGATAGATAGATAGATAGATGAGAATAGATAGATAGATAGATTTCAAACAGATAAATAGACACATACATAACAGACTAAGATAGATAGATAGATAGATAGATAGATAGATAGATGAATAGATATGAACAAAGTGAGAGATAGATACATGATATGAGCAGACAATAAAATGATGAATATGACAAACTGAGATAGATGATGAATAGATGGATAGATAATGTGAGACAGATATGATAGATAGATAGATAGATATAGATGATAGATAGATAGATGAGATATGAACAAAGTGAGAGAGATACATGATGAGATGAGCAGACTGAGATAAATAGATAGATATGAACAAACTGAGATAATATAGATAGATGGATGGATGGATAGATAATGGATGTGGACAGACATGATAGATAGATGGATGGATAGATAGATAGATAGATAGATAGATAGATAGATGTGGACAAAAGTGGAGAGATTTGCATGGATATGAGCGGACTGAGATAAATAGATAGATATGTGGAACAAACTGAGATACATAGATGGATTGATAGATAGATAGATAGATGAATGAATGAACAAAGTGAGAGATGAATACATGATGAGCAGACTGAGATAAATAGATAGAACAAACTGAGATAGATAGATAGATAGATAGATAGATATGACATAGAAAGATAGATGATATGAATAGATAGATAGATAGATAGATAGATAGATATGAACAAAGTGAGAGATAGATACATAGATATGAGCAGACTGAGATAAATAGATAGATATGAACAAACTGAGATAGATAGATAGATAGATAGATAGATAGATAGATAGATAGATAGATAGATAGATAGATTTCAATAGGGTGAGATAAATAGACACATACATACATAGATTTGTATAGATAGATAGATAGATGTAGATAGATGATGAATGATAGATAGATAATAGATATGAACAAAAGTGAGAGATAGATACATAGATAGATAGATAAATAGATAGATATGAACAAACTGAGATAGATAGATAGATAGATAGATAGATAGATAGATAGATGATAGATTTCAATAAGGGTGAGATAAATAGACACATACATACATAGATTTGTATAGATAGATGGATAGATAGATGATAGATAGATAGATAGAACCAGACTGGAAATTTATAGAGGAAACAGATATGATATATATATATATATATATATATATATATATATATATAGAGAGAGAGAGAGAGACAGAGACAGAGACAGAGACAGAGACAGAGAGAGAAATAAATAAAGACAGACTGACAAAGACAGAGAGAGAAACAAACTGAGATAGATAGATATTAACAGGCTTAGATAGATAGATAGATAGATAGATAGATAGATATGAACAAGCTATGGATATATTTACTAATTTAGTTAATTTAACCAAAGTTTAACACAAGGTCACTCTGTGGTGTGTTAACATATGTATCAATTAATCTGCTTTGAAAATCATTATTTAAAAGATTATTTTTCTTCTTTCATTTGAATTTTGACGTTTAATGTCGGTAAGAAATTTACATCTCACGTGAATGTTCTTCGTTTAGGCAGGTGCACGCGTCGCTTTTATGTTCACGATTGCCGCGAAAAAATGTCTAATGAACTACTTAGTCATTTATTGCAGGCTTTGAATGGTGGCGTAGACTCATACACCAGTCCCCGTAGGAGATGGGACAATTTGCCGGACAGTGTACTTGAAACCCGCACCATAGACACGCCAGTCAGATATGCCAGATTTTAGAAACAGCAGTCTATTAATAAGCGCGAAGATGGAAGAAACGAACGAACACACGTACAAATTGGTAGCTGTCAAACAGAGGCGCACTTGCATGGCAAGAGACTGCCTCTACATCAAGGTTATGCACGTGTGGCTTAATGCGTCAATTCACCTCTGTAATGCACGCTCTTTCTCTGTCATCTTCCCTATAGAATGAACAAATTCAATGCTTTCTACAGACTTAATAAAGAGTATTCGTGGCTAAGTTAATTACTAAGATTCATTTAGTCTTGCTAAAACCGAGAAGTTGGGATCTATCTCACTGTATATTTGTGCTGATCTTCAAGATTAACCCAATAGCCTTTTAAATAATCTTTTAAATAATGATTATTAAAGCTGATTAATTGATACATATGTTCACACACTACAGAGTGACCTCGTGTTAAACTTTGGTTAAATTAACTGAATTAGTAAATATATCAATAGCTTGTTCATATCTATCTATCTATCTATCTATCTGAGTCTGTTAGTATGTACTATCTCAGTTCGTTTCTCTCTCTATCTTTGTCTGTCTCTCTATATATTTCAGTCTGTTTCTTTCTTTCTATTTCTATATATTCATATCTACCTGATATCACAACGAGATGAGCTATGATTTGTCTGGTACAAGGTCAAACATGCGGGGCACCCAGTGTGAATCGAACTCACTATAAAACATAAGGTCTATGAAATTTATTTGCCAGCCATAAGCATTGGAGAAAGTAACCAGATTAATTGCTTCAGGTGAAAATGAATGTAAATTAAATCAGTTGCCTTCTTCTTCTTCTTCTTCTTCTTCTTCTTCTTCTTCTTCTTCAATATTTCTATATCTATATATTTATATTCCTCTATCTTATTTTTTTTTTTAGACATTCCACTCCAAGTAAAGCGAGAGTCACACTAGTTTGGTACAAGGGGTTACAAAGAGTGAGAGCAAGATTAAGAGGTGGGTGCTTGAGGAAAGAATAGAGAGAAGGACTGGGGTCAAGATTCAAGGCATCAGAAGATGTCGATTGACATTTCATTTGAATATTTGAAGATTATATATCAGGGAAGCAAGTTGGACGAAGCGAGTTCCACTGACGGCTCTCACAGTAAACATACAAATATATTTAAGATTATATATATATATATACATATATATATATATATATATATATATATATATATATATATATATATATATATATATATATATATATATTATATACATACATACACACATATATATATATGTATGTCTGTGTGTGTGTGTATATATATATATTCTAAATTGATTGCTCGATGTAAAATAACAAACCTAAAATTTATACTAATAATAAATATTTGGTTGGATTGATGTGAGTTTGTGACCCTGGGTAGATAGACAGATAGATAGATAGATAGATATGAACAGAATGAAATAGATATGAACTGATTGAGATAGATAGATAGATAGATAGATAGATAGATAGATAGATAGATAGATAGATAGATAGATAGATAAATAGATAGATAGATATGAACAGAATGAAATAGATATGAACTGATTGAGATAGATAGATAGATAGATAGATAGATAGATAGATAGATAGATAGATAGATAGATACTGAAGAGAAGAGACGTTTATGTGTGCACATTATTTAACTGGTATCTTTTTGTTGTTGTTGTTGTTGTAAGGACTCTCATCCTCCCTCTCTTTCAATCCTTTTCGCTCCCTCTCCCATTCTCTGTTTCCCTCTTCCGATAAAGAGAAACAGAGTGAACCCATTGATATTCATATGTGTATCCACATGGAGGGACATTATTGATTTGTATCTTGATTTTCCTTCAAAACTATTGCTGTTTATGAAAACTTAAAACAAATCCGTTTTAATGATCATCAAATTTATTGGTTTCATGCTTTAAAAAAAAAATGAAATATAAACATTGTTTTCTTTTTTATAGATTCGTTCCTGCTCGCCTCTGCATGTGGGTTTGTTATTATTCAATAGTATATAATAATTGTGTATGTACAACTAATCTTACACACACACACACACACACATATATATATATATATATATATATATATATATATATATATATATATATACACAAAAAAGGTTGCTGAAAAATTCTCAACTAAATGACCAAGTATCTGAGTTTATGTTAGAAAGAAACTCCTAGTCGGCTCAAAAAACCTTTTCAGCATCCTGGCATATATAGACGAAATGAACAATGTTTAAGAAAATGGTGCGTCTACTTAAACACGGGTACCACTATATATATATATATATATATATATATATATATATATATTATTATTATTATTATTATTATTATTATTATTATTATAAAGGTTATAATAAAACATTGAAATCGCTGCACAAAAGCTTTCATCTTTCAGTTCTTTGATTGTCCTTCTTCAGGCGATGGTAAGTAACTGGTTTTATTATAATACTTTAAAAGAAAAAAATAATAATATATTGCTCTACTTTGTATTGAGCACTTTATTTAAAAGTAAACGCTATGAACAGTGGAATTTTACTCCATCTGTTCTTTCTCTCATTTATATATATATATATATATATATATATATATATATATATATTGTTTAAAATGTGCTATGAGCTATATGCTATTTATGTAGCAACGATAGATAGAAACACTATGGCCATAGGGATTAATACTGAATGGTGGCTGTCAGTTTCATTCCTCGCTGTAATCTTCATGAATTGACAGAGAGACATGAATCAAACAGTCACTATGGAATATTAATTTCTATGACCTCACTTTATATCTATGGGCATAAAAATAATTATAGCAGATCTTAAATAGTACATACGGGATGCCTATCGATTTCTTAAAAGATTATGACCATTGTTGACAAGTTTGATCAAAGTTTTTGGTTCAATGGCTCTTGATACTAATAAGGTATTTCAAATGTATATTTCAGTTATGTCAAAATAAATTGTTTTGTACAGGACCTGGCCTGCTTTATAAAGTCTTTTCAGTTTGCTTTTGGAAGTTGTTCTTAGTTACAAATATTGAAATGGGTCCCATATATATATATAAATGTGTATGATCCATTTATGAAAATAGATAGATAGGAATAGGATAAGATAGATAGATAGATAGATAGATAGATAGATAGATGTATTCAGAGAGCATGATTTATAGATAAATAAATATTTTATTAGTTAAACATTACTTTTAGTGCTCAACCGTATTTGAAGAGAAACTACTTTTATTTATTAAACAGTATATTTATTTATTTTTATCTACTGGCCTAAATATTTACGAAATCCTATTAAAAAATATATGCACGCTCCGGCAGAATTTGAACCTGCACCCTCCTCGGCAAGGGAAACTGCCTGGGAGATATTTGCGTTTATATGGGACTATTCAATTTTGTTTGATCATCGACGCACATTATAACCGAGACGGAATAAAGAAGGTCGGATCTAACAACGCAGGTCGTCTACTTAAATATGGGTATCCACTAAAACTAACGTTTAAGTATTAAAATCTGTCGGGGGAATAAATATAAATCAGTCACTTCTTTAGAAATAGATAGAAGAGGAAGAAATGATAGATATATATGAATAGAATGAGATAGACAGATAGATAGGGAGAGAAAGAGAGATAAAGATATAAATAGGATATGATAGATAGATAGATAGATAGATAGATAGATAGATAGATAGATAGATAGATAGATAATGAACAGAATGAAATAGATATGAACAGAATTAGATAGATAGATAGATAGATAGATAGATAGATAGATAGATAGATAGATAGATAGATAGATAATGAACAGAATGAAATAGATATAAATAGAATTAGATAGATAGATAGATAGATAGATAGATAGATAGATAGATAATGAACAGAATTAAATAGAAATGAACGAACCAAGATAGATAGATAGATAGATAGATAGATAGATAGATAGATAGATAGATAAATAGATATGAACAGAATGAAATCGATATGAACTGAATGAGACAGATAGATATATAGATAGATAAATACAAAATTTCTGAGAGAGATCTAGATACATATGAACTAAGATAGATAGATAGATAGATAGATAGATAGATAGATAAGAGAGAGAGATAAGAGAGAGAGATATGAATAGGATGTGAGATAAAGAAAGAAAGAAAGAAAGAAAGAAAGAACCAAAGGCAGGGTTAAATAGGTCTTGGCTCGTCTGAATTTCTATTTTGTTGCAGCAGTTGGAAAACTTTTATAATGTAAAATGCTGTTTTGCTAAATCCTAAACGATATCAATGTCATGTGTGAAATTTTCAAGTCTTGAAGTCCCCGCTCTTCCATGAGTGTATGATTCAAACATTATGGTGACAAGTGTCCATCATACCTACCCGTGAATGTGGTGTACCGATCTCGAGTGTTGATATTTTGCGACCCAAGATGCAACATGTTATGGGAAGACTGCAAGAGTGTTACTCTGTTAATCTGATTTGGGCCGTAGAGAAAGATGACGGATGAATTTGTTAAGTTTATTGATCATTTACTTGCTTTGCCAACAAACGTAGCTTTGATCAATATATATCTTTCTTTCTATTGATTAAGATAACAGAGGTCGAAAAGCATAGCGGTCAAAAAGACTGTGTTGCGTCTATTTTCAGAGTCAGGAACGCCTAACATTTTGAAAATCAGCATTTGAAAGCCTAACTGGACAGGGATTGGACACCACTGGGAAATGCACAAATATCTCATCGATGTTCTCATTTAAAACATAGATAGAAATGAACGAACCGAGATAGATAGATAGATAGATAGATAGATAGATAGATAGATAGAT